TGTTAGTTATTTAGCCTAACATTTGTTGTTGCAAGCTAATTTTCAGAGAACTTTTAGCAAATGCTTGCATGTTCCCAGTGGAAATGACACTATTGCAACCCTCAAGTTGAAAAACTGTTCCCCCATCGATGGTTAGTGTCCAGACCTGGGGAAACACATGACAACATTGTGCGCGCAATAAATACGTTTAGCAAATTTCAGGTTGTGTGAAACGGGGTGAAGCGTCTCCCCATGAAGAGAGACGCCGTGCGCATTTACGCACGAGCCACAGCAGCATAACTTCATATTTAAATCTCCCGACAAGCTGACAGGATCATCAGGATCTAATGTTAAATAATACGCTGTGTTTTTCAACACATCCAAAAGGTCTCGTACACAGTCCAGGTTCATACAGAGACACAGTCTGGAGTAAAGCAGCCGTCTTCCTGATCAATCCTGAGCTCCATCAGAGCAAACATTTCAGACGCTAAAAGGGGAATTCTGTTTCCTCTGCAGAGTTTCCTTTTTCTGACCTGTCTAGTTTTAAACTATTTTTGTTTTGTTTTGCTGCATAAATGTCCCACGATATTAACTGTGATGTTACTGCGTGCCTGCAAACGTCTGTCGCTTTGTGTTGAAAAGTGGTGAGTCTCCAGCATTGACAGCGTTGTGTTGGAGAGATTTGTGCAGTGAACAGAGATAAGGTGGTGCGCAAATACATGCGCGCAGCTCTGTAGAGATTTTTAATAGGCCTAGTAAAAACAATTGAAAATAAATATGTGGCGGTCAGCGTTGATGTTGTCGCAGGCCACCCCAAATAAATCAGTGTATGGGAACACTGTACTGTTCAGCTGCACCATCTGTTATGAGTTAAGGATTCTGGTATTGTTTTGGTTCTATGTCTTGTGTTCTACTGTTTTGCCCATGTTTGCTCTTTGTTTTGTTGATCCTGTTTAAGTCTGTTTGTGGTTCTGTGTTTCTCTGTGTAGCCTTGTTTATTATTTTACTCATTCGCATGTTTAAGTTTACTTCGTATCTGTCTTGTCTCTTATCTTAGGTCTTAGTCCTGCATTTTAGTTCTTTGCCTCAGTTCTAGTGTGTTCCCGTGTACTTTACTTCTGTTTTACTTTGTAGTATTCAGTACTCATGTGTCCTTGTCTAGCTTTGCTTCCTGTTGTTTGAGTATCTGATGTGTTTCAGCTGTGCTTCCCTCCTTGCTCATTTGCCTGTGTATTTAAGCCCTTAGTTTTGTTCAGTCTTTGTCACATCCTCTGTTGTTAAGGTTCCCTGGATCTTTGGATTACCTTGTGTTTGTTGGATTTACCTCAGTTTGGACTTTACCTTGTGCTTCCACATAAGCTTGTTTCAGTTTGGTTTTTTGAGTTAATATATCTTTTTGAACTGCATCCTCGCCTTTTAGTCTGCACCTCAGTCTTCACGCAGCCACACACCCCCCCATGACACTATCTGTGGCTTCGATGTCCTCTCTGTTTAATCTTTCACCCATGAACCGGGTTGTGGCATCTTCCTCTTCCTGGTCTTAGCGTCTGTGGACCTACTACTACAGAACTAGTCAGTTACTTTTGTACATTTACTTGCATTTCAGTTAAACTCTGTTTTTCCATTTTCAGTTGTAGCTTGTTTTCCAGCTGTCAGAGTCACTGTGGTGTGAGTGAGGTGGATGGATGGGGTGGGGCTAAGGGCTGCATTGACGTTCATATGGAATAGACCAACAGGCAAGAAGAGTGGGGGGTTTGGCCCGTGTTGCTCAACCTTCTGCCACCTTTTTCATTATTAGTACAAAAATTTAAGCTGAGGAAGGCGGCCCACTGTCACGGTTCTCCAGATGGCCAGGCCGCTACTGATTGTGGTGAACTGTTCTCTGTAAATGTTAAACTGTTTAGAATGATTGTGTCTTCTGAATTAATATTTACTTTAAAATTTGAATCTTTTACTAACTGTAATCCAGTGGACTGGCCCTAACCTCAGTTGCTGTAATCTGCTGCTCCAAAACATGTATATGTCATATGCATATTGAACATATTGGATGTAAACGGATGGGTTTTAGTTTGCTTTTGTTTGATAGTGCCCATTTACGTAACCCACACTGGAGATTCCACTGACCACAGCTGTCTAAAACCAGGCAGAAGCATTCGTAATGAACTGGTTATTTTAAAAATGTTTCCCATAAAATGCAGAGTTTCCCCTTTCATGATCCGCTAAATGTGAGAGTTGGTTAATTTGGGTTTTAGCTGCCCTGTGAAGGTCTACACAGAATACAGTTCTGGGAAAAACACTGAATTATTTCTCATTCTAACAGAAGATACTGGGACAATAGCAATAAATTCAAATAATCTAATAAACCTGTAAAAGCTTTTAAAATGTAAACAAAACACACACATACAATAATTAACCACAAGATTGTGTTCTTCAACCTTTCAGCTAATAAGGAGGAGGAAACTGTGTACAGTGATGTGAAGGTGCGAAGCAAAACAACCGAAAAGACTGCTGACATAAATGGTAAGTTGCAACTGAGAATATTTTTAGTAATACTACTATTACTGCTACAAATTCTACCTCTACTTTATCGTTGTTACAACTATTAAAATGGAACTAATAGGGGAGTCATGAGGAGTACTGCTCAGCCTGTGAAAACAGTAGGAGCTTTGTCAATAACCTGATGATGCCTTCAGTTTAACTTAGAGACTGCTAATTTTAACAAAGACTTGTTGTGGAGGACGCTTTGTTAATTACGGATAGAGACCACCATGGTATGAATGGCATCGTCACCAACAGCTGTGTTCACTGTTGCTTTACCTGCAACAGGTAAAGCGTCCTCCTGGAGTTTAAAAAGATGTTGCTGTTTCACAGGCAGGGAAGCTCTAGTGAAAAGATAAAATCACCTTGAACTATGGGAAGTGTAGGATCCATTGTTTTTGGAGTTTAAGCCATAGTAGGGAATTTATATTTTGAGATTTTCTAATCTGTATTTTGCCAAGTGTTTGACAAGTGCTTCAACTGCAACATTTATTTTACTGCCACTAAAACCACAGAAATTCTGCTGTTACAACTGCCACCAATTCTTCTATTACTGCTTCTAATGCTACTTTTAGCACAATGACAAAAAGCACTTTTCTTAAAGAACAGGTTCACACATTTTAAAGTCCATCATTAAACAAGGTGCCCATGTGAATACTGAAACATGTTTTGCTGCCTGTAATAATTTCCTTTGTAATGTGCTTCGACTGTAAGAGATGGGAGACAAAATGTAAAGTCTTTGTTCTGTATAGAAATGTGTTCCAAAGTTCATCAGAAGCTTTTAGCAGTCTGAGTTAGTCAAATCAAGTGGGTATCTTTACTGTTTTTAACTTTCTGACTTTTTAAGTCTTTTTACACCAAAGTTTAAGAGTTTGGTGTAAAAATCCTGTGACTTTGAAAAGTACCCAGTTGATTTGGTTAACTCAGACTTAATTATATCTGTTGTTTATTCTCAGCAGGACTTTTGCCAGACAAGAAAACAAACAGCAGAGGTCGCTGCTATCAGCAGGTGGCTTGTTGTTTGGGGATTCTTTGTGTCATTTTGCTGTTGGGCATCATAGCAGTCTGTGTCTACAGTAAGTATACAAAACAGGTAGTCTATGCAGTACCTCAGACTCAGACATGAGGCAGAACTTGAAGAATAACAGCACCAGTTTTCCTCTGTAACATTACTAAAACCGTAACCAGCGGATCTATTAACAGGTTGTTTTACCTATAGATTTCTGCCTCTAGTCTAAATCTGTTTCAAACAAAATTCATTTCTGGACATAATGTAGACAATAGACAGTAAGTAATACGACTGTTCTTGTTTATGTGATTTATATTTTTAACAATGTAAAGCACTACGGACTCAATGAGATAAAATTCACAAATATTCAATAAAATCATTAAATGATAAATAAAATCCACAGATGCACATTTGGAAATAAGAATTATTAAAGTGCATTTTTAACTCCGTTACATATGCATAAAAGGAATTAAACAATTAGTCAAATGAATTGCTGTCAACATATTCCATGATCAGCCCCAAACAAACACTGAATTGATCCTACAAACAAATATATCTGTGTATCAAAGCCTGATAGATCTTATCTGGCTGTGCCATAGAGACCCACAATTGTCTATAAACTATTAACTATTAACACTTCAGCGAGTCACAGTGTTGCACTGGGTGACATGTTCCTTCACAACAATGAACACCATAAAGGCCTGCTAGTGCACAATTTCAGCTGAGAAAAATTACAGTGCCCAGCTGTTTTAGGCAATGTCAAATATTTAAGGGGTCAGTAGGAACCAAAGGGCTCAGGAAGTCAGAAAACATTTAGTCTTTTCAGAGGATTTGTTGATCTCATAAATTTAAGAAACATGATAAGAACCTACAGCTTCCGTAAGTCTAAATAACCTGAAGTAACACAAAGCTTCCAAAAATGGGAAAGTGACAAAGACAAAATTGCATCATTATTATCACTCAAGAAGCTTATTTCCTATTTGCAGTTGCTACATTAATTCATGAGAGTGAGCAGAATCAGCTGAAAGAAAACCAAACGATTCTACTGGCTCTCAATGGAAACCTGACAAACCAGAACAACAAACTCAGCTCAGAAAATGAAAACCTGAGGAGGGAACACAACAATCTGACAGTCCAGTTGGAGAACCTGACACAAGTCTATACTGTCTTAAAAAGTAACATCACAAACCTGTCTGCAGAAAACCAGAACCTGACATCACAAAACACCAAGCTGTCTGCAGAAAACCAGAACCTGACATCACAAAACACCAAGCTGTCTGCAGAAAACCAGGAGCTGAAGACAGAGAGGAATGAGCTCAACGTCAGTCAAGCTCAGTGGAGCATTGATGCCTACTGCCCAAAAGAAAACCAAAGTATGTTCAGATCCTGTTAATGAAGTAAAAAAGTAACCGACAATATTAATAACAATATCAACAATATAATGTTGTTTATTGGTTTGTCTCTGTTGTTTCAGACAGAACGTGTAAAGCTTGTCAGGATGGTTGGACACTCTCAGAATCCAGCTGCTATGCGATTAATAACCCTGATGTTCCTGGTCAGAAAACCTGGGAAGAAGCTCGAGAAAACTGCAGAGGAAAGATTTCAGATCTGGTTGTTAAACTTGATCAAAAGGAGAAGGTAATGAGAACACTGAACATTTTTATTACAGCCTATATGAAATGAAAATGTATTTTCTGTCTGAACACACTGAGTCTGTAGGCCACAGTGTGTTTAAGTACAGAGTTTAAATATTTGATAACTGTCTCTCTGTTAATAAACAAACAAAACGGGCAAATCTATTTGATTATGATAAAAATGACTGTCCGTTGATGAAAGGTGACCTGCAGCAGTGTGAGAACAAACAGTGTGGCTTAAAACCACTAAAGTAGAAAACTTCCCACCATCAACTCAGCATTCACCACTAACTAAACAACAACTGTCAAATCTTCAAAGCAGAACTAAAAACCATTCTCTTCTCTGTGAAATATAACATTGGTACACTGTAAACCTTGTTCTTTTGATTTTTAAAAGTTTAAACTAAAGTAGACTTTTAAAAATCTCCCCCTGAGATGATCTAATTAATTGTAATTGAAAATGATATATATTATACAAAAATGAAAACACTAAATAAAAATGTATGTATTTCTTAACACAGCTGGAATGTACTTGAAATTTTCATGCATGATAAATGTGAACTCAAAACCTATAATGTGATATTCCTGCACAGGAGAACCTCAGACAAACTTTCATAACACTAGAGATTCTGTGTATATGATAAAAAAAGGATGGAGATCAATGTGTGGAATATTTACATTTAGCTAACACTTTTATCCAAAGCAACTTACAATTGCTATGCAAGTCAGAGGTCGCACGCCTCTGGAGCAACTAGAGGTTAAGTTTCTTGCTCAGGGACACAATGGTGGATGTCTCACATTGGGAATTGAACCCAGGTCTCCCACACTAAAGGCAAGCGTCTAATCTATGCGTCATCACCTTAGAGGGTTTAGAAAAGAAGCTGCATGAAGTCAGAAACAGTTAAAGCCACAGAGTGTTGTTGTCAGTACAGTGGTTAAACATGATAAACTGATATTGTCTTTCTGTGAATATCAGGAATATGTCAACTTTAACTGGGGCAGTTATGGCTACTGGATTGGCCAGAGAGCTGAAGCTGGAAATTGGACGTGGATCAATGGAACTTTTCTAAAGACTCAAGAGTAAGATGATTTTCTAAACACCATGAATAATAAAATGTGTCAGCTGGGATCTAACCATCACGTTCTTTCCTCAGCTACTTGACAGGACCACCTTCTGGTGAAGCTCATTGTGTGATTTCTGTCGGAGGGACACCTTCCAAGAGCTGGAAAGCTGTGAAGTGTGATGAGAAACATCGATGGATCTGTGAGAAGAAAGCTTTATCTGTTTAAGATCTGTAATCAGAACTGAAGAGATTACTGGATAGTCTGCACAGATGAATGACGCGTACAATAACATCAGCTGGCTTGTAAAAAAGAAAATGTGTAAAATTCTACTTAAGAATTTGCTGGATTTAGCCAGCACAAAAAAGACAGATCTTTGTGTGTGTATATATGTAATACAGTTTTGTATTACTGATCAGTTTTTAGAAAACTACAGTGTCAACAGGGGGCGCTAAAGTGCTAATAACATCAAATATGGATTTCTTTTACTTTGATAGAGCCAAATGTAGAGGTGTATGTGCATGTAGAGGTGACAGGTTTGATGTTCTCTATCTGCCTTATATGTTTCTATCTTAAAGCAGCTAGTGAATAAATATGTTACGCTGTGACATGTTTAAGAAGCAGCTGTTACCTCAGTGTGTTTGCTCCATTTGAGTGTCATTAACCTGTTACACACACGATCATCATCAGCACAGGACAGCACCTATCAGTAATTAGGGAAGAATCCAGTGGTGTAGTCTATTTTACACTGTGATTTTTCCCTCCCACCCTGATACTCCCCCGTCCCTCTCACTAATACATACAGTATGCATGTACATGTAATACAGAGCATTCTGAAGGACTGCTTAGGCTGTGCGTTATCAACACTGCAAAGACTTTAACAGCCAATGACAGTTACAGGTGGGCAAGGGCCACTGATTTTGGGCCCTATGACAAAAAAACTCAAATTGGACCCCCTCTCCACAACTTCTCTAAGACTTAACTGTCCCATCAAAAGCTTTACATCACTCTAATTAATGGCTTGCAAGTGTCTGGCTTCTTGTAGTTCAATATTAGTACTAGCACAATATTTACTGCTGGTGATTTGTACATGCAAGTCTGCATACAGGATGCAGTTCACTATTTGCTTCTCAAATAAATTGCCCTTCATGATGGGAATAATAAAGTCTGTATCTATAGATGTCATTTAACAGCCATAATTCAATCTAAATGAACATATCAAACTGGATTATTTTAATATAGTCTGTAACTTACATGCAGGCTGAGGTAAGCTGCTGTCCAGCATCAAGTACAGACAGGAAGGTGTTTTTTTATTTTATTTATTTCATAATGATCATTATGTGAGAAAATAATTTGTGTTTGAATTTCTGTCATTAAGAAATATTTCATTGTCTTTTTTGTTACGGTAAAAAGAGACAGAGAGACAGAGAAATCCCCACAGACTCCCTGGCATTAACACAATGTTGCTCCCCTTCTTCACTGGGACAGGGAGGCTACAGTTATGGGGAGACTGGGCTGCTGCTGACTCATCTGTTGTTAGTCTGCTGAAAGGGGCAGGGACAATGATTTAATATGAATATCTTGCTAAACGTTTCCCTGCACTGATTAAATGTTGAGGAAATGTAGGCTAACACCTGTCTTCTTAACCTTTATTTAACTAGGAAAGTCACATTGAGGTTAAAACCTCTTTTACAAGTGAGTCTGCAGCTAGCTAGCTTATTTCACTGAGGACATTAAGCCAACAGGTTAACACCACTCACAGACTAAAGGCTGCCCACCTGTCTTGGTGAAAAACTGGATTACAGTTTGACATCCTTTCCTTTGTCTTTCCAATCTTTCCTTTTTGGAAAACCAGATTTTGGTTTACTAGGCAACATCATGATCACTGTGTTTCATCTACTGACTGCATCTAAACACTGTCACTGATGAGTGCACTAAGGCAGGACCAAACCATTTCATGCAGATACAGGGGGGTGGTCGGCCACTATGGAGGTTTAGTTTTTGGTCACTGGGGATTTTTAACTTTTACTGCCAAAAACAAGTAAAAACAAAGAGATCATTCATTTTATTATTATATTTGATATATATACTCAATGATGATGGTTTATATAATGTTTAATATAATATAATTTGATATTAGTTTATAATAATTATAATTATTAATTAATTAATTAATTAATTATTAATATATAATTATAATTACTTTTTGGGGCCCCTGTCAGTCAGGGGCCCTTTGGAATTGTCCTAACTTTTCCCCCCTATATGGCTCCCGTGGTCACAGCCACACACACACAGGCTAAAACATGTCTTAGGTGTGTGGAAGTTATTCACAAGAGTGAAGAAGACTCAACGCTCACTACATCTGCAGAGAAACACACTGAAAGAGACGCTGTGGATATTGTAAAGCAGGGAGCAGGTAAAGCAACAGTGAACACAGCTGTTGGTGATGATGCCATTCATACCATGGTGGTCTCTATCCGTAATTAACAAAGGGTCCTCCACACGCGGCTCATCTGCTGCTGTTAAAACGGAATCGCGGGTGAAAAACTAAAAACGCGAGTTCTTTTAAATAAAACTGCTGACAAATAAAGTCAGACAGACAGGTGTTGAAGTGTGCATCAGATAGTTTGTGATTAAACACAAAAATAAATTGGAGAATTAAGTAGAATTAAAATGGTGTGCAATTTATTTTCAACTCCTTCCAGTAAAAATGCTAATGTTATTTTATAATCAATGTTTCATTATGACCATACAAATGAGACCAGTCAGAATAGCTAACATTTATACTGGTGCTTATCGGGATCCTAATAAAAATAGATTTTTCCAATAATTCAATTTCAATTCAATTTTATTTATATAGCGCCAAATCACAACAACAGTTATCTCACAGCGCCTTTCATAAAAGAGCAGGTCTAGACCGTACTCTGTGATGTTATTTACAGAAGCCCAACAGTTCCCACCAAGAGCAGCACTAGGCGACAGAGGCAAGGAAAAACTTCCTTTTAAGAGGCAGAAACCTCGAGCAGAACCATGGCTCAGGGTGGGCGGCCATCTGCCTCGACTGGTTGGGGTGAGAGAGAGAGAGAGAGAGAGAGAGAGACAGCCTACACAATATACACACAGAGGTACAGACAGTAAAGGTGATGTTGCCATAAACTACAGTGAGTACGGAAAGTATTCAGACCCCTTTAAATTTTTCACTCTTTGTTTCATTGCAGCCATTTTCCAAAAATCAAAAAAGTTCATTTTATTTCTCAGTAATGTACACTCAGCACCCCATCTTGACAGAAAAAAACAGAAATGTAGAAATATTTGCAAATTTATTAAAAAAGAAAAACTGAAATATCACATGGTCATAAGTATTCAGACCCTTTGCTCAGTATTTAGTAGAAGCACCCTTTTGATCTAATACAGCCATGAGTCGTTTTGGGAAAGATGCAACAAGTTTTTCACATCTGGATTTGGGTATCCTCTGCCATTCCTCCTTGCAGATCCTCTCCAGTTCTGTCAGGTTGGATGGTAAACGTTGGTGGACAGCCATTTTCAGGTCTCTCCAGAGATGCTCAGTTGGGTTTAAGTCAGGGCTCTGGCTGGGCCATTCAAGAACAGCCACGGAGTTGTTGTGAAGCCACTCCTTCGTTATTTTAGCGGTGTGCTTAGGGTCATTGTCTTGATGGAAGGTAAACCTTCGTCCCAGTCTGAGGTCCAGAGCACTCTGGAAAAGGTTTTCGTCCAGGATATCTCTGTACTTGGCCGCATTCATCTTTCCCTCGATTGCAACCAGTCGTCCTGTCCCTGCAGCTGAAAAACACCCCCACAGCATGATGCTGCCACCACCATGCTTCACTGTTGAGACTGTACTGGACAGGTGATGAGCAGTGCCTGGTTTTCTCCACACATACCGCTTAGAATTAAGGCCAAAAAGTTCAATCTTGGTCTCATCAGACCAGAGGATCTTATTTATCACCATCTTGGAGTCCTTCAGGTGTTTTTTAGCAAACTCCATGCGGGCTTTCATGTGTCTTGCACTGAGGAGAGGCTTCCGTCGGGCCACTCTGCCATAAAGCCCCGACTGGTGGATTGCTGCAGTGATGGTTGACTTACTACAACTTCCTCCCATCTCCTGACTGCATCTCTGGAGCTCAGCCACAGTGACCTTTGGGTTCTTCTTTACCTCTCTCACCAAGGCTCTTCTCCCCCGATAGCTCAGTTTGGCCGGACGGCCAGCGCTAGGAAGGGTTCTGGTCGTCCCAAACGTCTTCCATTTGAGGATTATGGAGGCTCTTAGGAACCTTAAGTGCAGCAGAAATATTTTTGTAACCTTGGCCAGATCTGTGCCTTGCCACAATTCTGTCTCTGAGCTCTTCAGGCAGTTCCTTTGACCTCATGATTCTCATTTGCTCTGACATGCACTGTGAGCTGTAAGGTCTTATATAGACAGGTGTGTGGCTTTCCTAATCAAGTCCAATCAGTATAATCAAACACAGCTGGACTCAAATGAAGGTGTAGAACCATCTCAAGGATGATCAGAAGAAATAGACAGCACCTGAGTTAAATATGAGTGTCACGGCAAAGGGTCTGAATACTAATGACCATGTGATATTTCAGTTTTTCTTTTTTAATAAATTTGCAAAAATTTGTAGTGTACATTACTGAGAAATAAAATGAACTTTTTTGATTTTTGGAAAATGGCTGCAATGAAACAAAGAGTGAAAAATTTAAAGGGGTCTGAATACTTTCCGTACCCACTGTAAATGAAAAATGGTACAGATATGTATAATAGTGTTAATGGTAACCATTGTAATGTTAATGATTATAATAACAATAATAACAATTAGACTAGCAACAATAGTCGTTGCAGCAGAGGGTGTCGAGCAGGAACACGGGGGCAGCAGGTGACCCGCAGCCATAGATCCAGACTCCACAGCTCCAGAGCCAGAAACACCTGCAGGAAGTGATAGGAGGAGAGAGGAGAGGGACGAGAAAGCACAAGACTACCAGAAAGGGGAGAAGTTGTGTTAGTAACATGCAATAATGGGATGAGGTTGCATACAGAGGGAGAGAAAGTAGAGGAGAGAGGAGCTCAGTGCAAAAATTTGTAGTGTACATTACTGAGAAATAAAATGAACTTTTTTGATTTTTGGAAAATGGCTGCAATGAAACAAAGAGTGAAAAATTTAAAGGGGTCTGAATACTTTCCGTACCCACTGTAAATGAAAAATGGTACAGATATGTATAATAGTGTTAATGGTAACCATTGTAATGTTAATGATTATAATAACAATAATAACAATAAGACTAGCAACAATAGTCGTTGCAGCAGAGGGTGTCGAGCAGGAACACGGGGGCAGCAGGTGACCCGCAGCCATAGATCCAGACTCCACAGCTCCAGAGCCAGAAACACCTGCAGGAAGTGATAGGAGGAGAGAGGAGAGGGACGAGAAAGCACAAGACTACCAGAAAGGGGAGAAGTTGTGTTAGTAACATGCAATAATGGGATGAGGTTGCATACAGAGGGAGAGAAAGTAGAGGAGAGAGGAGCTCAGTGCATCATGGGAAATCCCCCGGCAGTCTAGGCCTATAGCAGCATAACTAAGGGATGGTTCAGGACTCACCTGAG